CCATCCCTGATAAAAGGCCACCGCTGAACATAACACTCTCCCATAGATTGCCTCATAGTGAGGATATTGTAGATACCACAGTTTTTATTACTTTGAGTTGTTGTCAGGAAATGCTGCCGCCCATCTTCTGTTTTAGTTTCCCTCTGACACCTCTTACGACAGCCACGGAACGGGATGTGGACAAACACCGCCACTACACGGTTTATAACAAGCAGCACTGGCTAGTAGTAAAAAAAATTAACTAATCAATATCTTTGCAGTACAAAATTCGGTCTTTACGAAGTGGACTTCGAGCATCCGGAACGTGTACGCACTCCCCGCGCCTCAGCTCAGTACTACGCAAATGTCATACGAACAAACTCCATCGATTCCGATACACACCAAGATGCGAACACACTACGTCGTTTCCGACGCAAGGAAACGGAGAATGTCGCGTCTAGCTACAGCGGAAGTCCTATTGCAGTTAGTTTGTGTTTTGTGATAGGGTTCTTGTTTGTTACAAGTCAAATTTAAGGTATTAGGGCATCTGTCCACGTAGCGTCAATTCATAGACTTTTATCTCTATTTTCTACAGACTTCAGAAAGGAGACGGTACTCAATTCGACTGTATGTTTTTTTTATGTGTGTTAACCTCATAACTCTTTACTGTGTCAACCGATTTCGATGATTCTTTTTTGTTTGAAAGCTGGTGTTTCAATTGTGGTCCCATATAAATTTGATCAAGGTCTGACCAATAGTTTTTGAGTTATTCTCAATAAATTATGTCAAAGTCGGTTGTAAAAAAAAATTAAATTAATTTGTTCATATTACTAGCTATCTTGTTTTCATATAGACCTGCGACCTACACACGATAGGTTGTTATTATTAATTATTCTATGGTATTACGCCATTCTTTCATTTAGTTTGGTGAGAGATAGTCTGCGTGGATCAAAGTTACGAAGTAAAATAATAGGATACTCTACTTTTAAAACCAATTTATATGGGGGCAATCTATCCACAAGGAATTGATAAATTCAGTTGGGAATTAATAGTCGAAGTCGGGTGGATTGTTTACATAGTATGTTTACCTCGGTGCACTTATCTTCGAGAGATTTAAGTCATTTACCTTACCTACCTGATCGTTAGTAGGTGACAAAAAAGCTCTCTCTGTAAACCAACGTGACAAGGTCAATTGAAAGGTTCATACATAAGTCTTGGAATTTATATTATTATCGTAGTTTAGTAAGTATTTCGTGATAAACATTGCCGAGCCAATCTTGAGGGTGATTTACTAAAACGCAAAAATATCCATTATCAAGATTAAATTCAATAGTCACCAGTATACCCATGATGGGTATACCGCTATAAAAATAACTTTCTCAGTGATGACACAGTCTTTATGAAATGGGAAAGCTCTTTTTAATTGTCTAAATATGTACATAATTACGTCCAAATCGTTAGAGCTATTTCTAAGAAACAAATTACATATACATATATGTATACAAGAATTGCTCACTAAGTATAGAATAGTAAATATAAGTCACTTAATTATTATTGTCAATGCTAGGCCACCACAATGTGTCATTCCACCCTATGTAATTTGGATTTTATATGATTCCTATAATAATTTCATCGCCGGCGCTGTCCTCTGTCCTACATGTCTCATTCTAGTACAATACATTCATGTAACCTTGTTTAAATTATGTTACATAAATTAAAGTTATTTTTAAGTATAAAATTCTACTTGTATACTTAGCTCAATTAGTGAATATTAATTTATATATTTAAATTATAATAAAAAGATATTAAGGATTTAGAGATTAAAGATATTAAAGATGTTCGAAATACTTATTCTTTTTTATTTATTTACTGTTGTATTGTAAGAGAAAAATTAAAATGGTCCTTTGAGCCGGATATGAACCAACGGCATATGGGTATTCGGAGTCATAAAAAAGTACAAACAATTATGTCTAAAAATTGTCCGTCTCTTTTTTATGATTCATCTATGTTTCTTTTACTGTCGACATAAAATGGCTTATTTGATAGTTTGTACAGTAAAGAAGCTGATCAATTTACCAGCGGTTGACAGTACTTACGATAACAATCTGGATATATTTTAGGCAAGATTAAACAACTAAACCAGTGTCTTTACCCTCGAGTGCTACGTAACTACAATGTTGCCATACGGTGGGACTACAATTAAGTACTGTCTTATCCGTTAAAAAGTGACAGACTGATTGACAATACACGACTCACCGCAAGTGTGAAGAAGATAGGAATACTTTTCTGCCTATAAGTCCGTCTGGATATGTATCACCTTCTTACTGATTTCTGCCGCCTACCAGCAATGCGTGCACTGCTGTGTTAGTCTGAATGGCGTAGAGAATCTGTATAATTTAATAATCAATATTTTATATTTATTTATATAAATTTTATTTAATAATTACTAGATGGTAAGATTCTTTTCTGCCGACTTCCAAAAAGCAGCCGGTACTCAATTCGACAGTATGTTTTTTTTATGTGTATTACCTCATAACTTTGTACTGGGTCAACCAATTTCGATGATTCTTTTTTGGTTTGAAAGCTGATGTTTCACATGTGATCCCATTTGAATTTGATCATGGTCTGACCAATAGTTTTTCAGTTATTCTTAATAACTTATATTGAAGTCGGCTGTACAAAATTTTTAATTTTAAATTATATTATTCTACCTAAGATTCAGTTTGAGTAAGTATTACCCTCTTACCTGTTTCCGTCGCAAAACAGCATTGCGTGCACTGCTGTATTTTTGGTCTGAAAGGTATAGAACCAGCATAATTATAAACTAAGATTCATTGCAACTTAGTCCCCAGAAGTGACACTGCGTATATGGACTTGTTGGTTTAAAGTTGATTTAATGTTTAAGAAGCGTTAGTAGCCTAATGGCAGGGCGCGGACCGCGAACTCGAAAGGTCGTGGGTTCGAATCCGCCATTCGACTACTGTCGTGAACCACTTCTAACACAAACATTTTAAGTTTACCAGAAGTAGTTAAACGGAATATTAGTAAAATTTAATAGCATTACTAGTATTTAAAAAAAATAATTGGATGGCATGGTGTAACCGTGGTCTGCAGCAGCGACTTGACATAACAGTGTTTGTTTGTCAAGTGTTACACATTTTGCGCATCTGCTCGCAAGTCGTTATCACGTGAGCGTTGCAAAACATACCGTGTATAGAAAAATTATGTTATTTTATCGAATAAGAGTGACAAACGAACACACAGTCTACCAGGTGGTCTTAACACTAATATAAGTGTTAAGTTAGAATAAGTAAAAGCAGTATAATTAAAGTCTCGAACTGATAAACACGTCTCCTTTTCATTCAACACCTTCCGATATTACATGGTGATCCTGCCAGGCGGTGCGCTGCGACAATGCATGCGCACCGCCGGGTGTTTTTAAAATTAAAAGGTGGGAATAAATATTACAAAATGAAATAATGAAGACATGAGTGAAATTATTGACAAAAAAAATTATATTATAACGGAATGTACGCAATACCGGATGTGACGAAAAACAAATATGAATACAAGAAAAGACCGGAATAATAATTTTACAGAAGCTGACTAAAAAATTAAAAAGTATAATGTGTATGAAGTAATATAATGTAAATGTATAATAGTACTATGAAGGCAACTAAGAAAGAGGAAAATAAAAAGTGATTTGTCAATTGTCACTTTGTTAGAATTCCGGTAAGCTGCCTCACATATCTCAAAAATTCAGATAAATTACCTTGTCGTTTCGTGTTTCTCGGCTCAGGCACAAGTCTCGTATATGGAAGAGGAATTAATACTCATCGCACTGCTTTTAGCTTTAAATAATAATAAAAGAGAGACGCAAACGAATACACTGGATTCATCATCTTAATGTGATCAGAGTAAGAGAAAGTCAGTTCTACACATCGAATACTAATAAAAACTAGATACACAATCAGTGACAAAAATGTCCTTACCGAATGAGCGCCCACTCGAACATTTGGGTGCGCTTTTAATTTGTACGTAGCATTGTGAATACAACTTTAGGCAATGCATGTAAGGTTGAATTTACATTAATGTATATTTATTTCAACTAGAATTACGTCAAAACAATTGGCGACAATTTTTAGAGAACTTTTGCATGGGATTGTGTATCTAGGTTTTTATTAGTGATCGACGGTTCTACATTACAACTTCACAAGTCGCAACACGTCTAGCCGTTATCGCTCGCAGTGTCAACCGTGTGTGTGTGTGTGTGTGTGTGTGTGTGTGTGTGTGTGAGTGCTCGCGTGTTTAAATGTATATAAAACGCGCGTTATGAAATTATAATCTTAAATATTCTGATCCGGAAATCAGAACGCTCGTCAGTCATTCTTACAGATCGACCTGAGAAAATCATAACCTGAAAAAATTAGAATGTGTGTGGAGCATAATTAAATTATAATAATATGAATTCTGAGAGGCATTCCGAATGTGTGCGGCCAGCCTTTTTTTAAAACGTTACCTCGACACTAGGATTGTCTCCTGCATTTTGAGGGCAGTTTACATACATAAATTTCACAAGGACAAACATCCAGACCCAGAACAATTATTTGTAGATCATAAAAATACTTGTGCCATGCGGGATTCGAACCCACGGCCCTTAGCGCGGCAACTCATTGCTAAGCCACTGCGCCACGGAACCGTCAAGAGCCTAACTGTACCATTACAGAATATTTTGAGTCCACTGTCGAACATTTGCCTCCCCCATATATTTCCGTCGTAGGGGGTTGTGCCATAGTCGCCACGCATGGCAGGCGGATTGGTAACCGCAGTTTTTTTTAAATTTAATTATCAGGAAGACGCTGCTACCCCACCTCCTGGTTTTTTTCGTGATCGTGACGCCTCATACGGATAAGGAATGTTGTGTTAGTGTAGCCACTACTTCTTACACCACCACTACAGGGTATACATACATAAGAAATATAAGGAATAAGAAGTCATTATTTGTAACAAAACAACCTAGTTTATTGTTTAAACTGCTTCTCTAGTTTCAACAGCGGTTCGTTCTTGCTCTTTCTTTTCTCCTTCTTCAATTCACCCGTTTCTAAAGCCTTCTTCATAACCTGGAAGTTAAATAAACGTTAAACTCAAAACTTTGTAAAAAAAATCTCTCATCGGTCCGTTAATAACCCTCTTCAATATTATATATCCCATATGCCGTAATCACCAAATTTAGCACACATAATAGCGATCACAAAACGAAATGTTTCACACCTTTGTCGCATCTCGTTGCTGGTGTCGGGATTTTATGTCAAAGGAAAAGAAAGTGACTAAATGGTTTTTGAGTAGCGAACTGGTCTTGTACTGGTGAGTGAAATGTATCCTCCACCCCACCCGCCCCACCTAGATGTAGTTACGATTTTCGAGGTTAGCCAAGTCAACATTCTACAATCGATAACGCTAATAGAAAACTATAAAAAACTTACTAAGTGCGTGTCGGGCCACGCACAATATAGAGGTATAATGTAGAAGATGAGCATAATAAGTGAGTTCGCGGTTTGACCGCTATAACGACTAAAAGTAGGGCCAAATAGGAAGATCGGAACTGAAGGATTTATTTTCAAATCAGACTTATAGGAAGTGGTATTCAAAAAAAGATTAAAAAAACTTTTCGGTTTTGATAATAATGCCTTACCTATCCCGTAAACGAAAAAGTATAGCTAATAGTAATAACGCATAAAGTCGTTTTCTTCATAAAATCTTTATTTTTAACAGTTTACCATAACATTACAAAATTATTAATGCAGCTAGTTTTAGGTCATTTTCTATGGAGTTGTAAAGAAATTTTTATTAATCCAAGTGTATTTTATAAGCTGGTCGACTATTGCCCGTTAACTACTTAATTCTACTTAGCTGTGATAGTTTTCCTTTTAACTTCATTATATATACTACTATTGTTTATACTTTTCACATTTCCAGAAACAGCGGTTTAGTTGGTAGGAGAGGGGGGGGGGGGGGGTTGAAAGGACACATGACTAATGAATAATACCACTTTAAAGCTAAAAAAGCACACCCCCAAAGAAATGCGTATCCAACGATACCCCACATGACGGAATAGACGGGTAAAAAGCATCATCGTCCATTTACTTGTTGGGTAGTACCCAAAATAAAAATGTTTTTTAAGATTTTATTTCACAATTTTCTAGGCGTGATTAATATTTGTAACTATGCCATATTACTAATTTGTAGCACCTAGGCTCTCTGAGCAAAACTGCGGACGGACGGACGGACGGACGTACGGACATGGCAAAACTATAAGGGTTCCTTGTTGTGTACCTACAGGACCCTAAAAATTAATGAAAATAACACATCTCAACGATATGTCACGGGAATATTATTAATTTTTATAGTTTTCTATTAGGGTTGAAGATTGTCAACTTGACTAACCCCCTCTTGTAAGACATGTACGAAGTTAATGAATGCTTGGAGTCGTGTTTAGTGGCATTCCTTAAGGGAGGTCTATGTTCAGAAGTTTGCTTATGAAATGCTGTAATAATGATGATGATGAATGACGATTAACAATGTACTTGATAGGAAGTGGCTATCGTAGCCCATAGACACCTGAGATCAACTTAAAAAAAAGAGGTTTAAGATGCTGTGTCATCTCTGACGGCTAAGGCAGAATGCCCCAAAACCTGTAACCTGGCGCTTTAAACCGTAACAGTAGTATACTGTTACTTGGCAGCAGGAATATGTAAGAGGGTGGCACCAAACAAGTTACAAGAAGAAAAGGACCTCTAGAGTGAACGCGATTCAGTCTTATAAATAAAAAATCTGATTTTAGTCTCTATTTAGTTATTCGCGTTACCATCCATACCATTTGGATGATTGGCGGTCCACCACTGTGCGATTTAGAAGAAGTTATCTCCCTTGCACAACTTTTTTGTGGAATCGATTACCACCAGCGATTTTTCCAGACCGATACGACTTAGGGACCCTCAAGAAAAGAGCCTACTCCTTTTTAAAAGGCCGGCAACGCATCTGCAATTCCCCTGGTGTTGCGGTTGTTCATGGGCGGCGGTAGTCACTTACCATCAGGTGAGCCGCATGCTCGTTTGCCCCCTCTGCTATAAAAAAAAAAGTTCATTCAATCATCCATTTTTTTTATAAAAAAAATATGAGTTAAGCTATTAAACATTACTAATATTCCCACTAACCACTTCTGCTAAGCTTAAAACGCTTGTGTTAGAAGTGGTTCACGACAGTAGTCGAATGGCGGATTCGATCCCACGACCTTTCGAGTTCGCGGTTCGCGACCTGCCATTAGGCTACTGACGCTTCTAATCATTCTTCAATCCATTCATTACAGCCTGTCAAAAGTTCACTGCTGAACATATGCGTTAAACGTCCAACATAGATTACCTAATAGGGGGAAAACCGCGGATTCTATTATTTTGACTCTTCAACAGGAAGATGCTGCTGCCCATTTCCTGTTTCAGTTCTCTTCTGTCGTCACTTACGACACCCACAGAATGATTATTTTTTATCAGCTCGTAAAAGTAAGGCTTTCTCGTCCTAGATAAGACATGTTTTACGTCGTCCGTCACGCTAGGCAGGTGGATCGAATCGCTGTACCAGATGACCTGGCTCTACGTTCCAAATTCAATGGTTTGGGAATTTCACGGTTAGGGTAAAGAGGTGCTTGTATATAATCACGAAGCAAATACAAAGACGAGATGGCTTAAGCAACTGTGCACTGTGATTCTAACTCGTGAACGTGGGTTTACTTAGTATACTGTCAGCGTCCGTCCTGTGCGCTAATGTGTCGAAAATCGAAAATCGATGTATTTTCGTAGTATTAACAAGAAACGGATGAAGTGTTGCGTTTTATCGTATAAAAACTAAACTCGCTCTGAAGCCATGGATGGCATCACATTTCATTTGTAAGTAATTTTATACCTAATTTATGAAAAAGGTTCTAGAAAAATCTCTGCGTCGGCTTTCAAATGTAATTAAATATATTCGACACTAGATGGCGTCAGTTCATGTCATGGGAATTAAAAATATAAAGGTACGTAGAGCTCAATATTGATACAATAATCATACGAAGGTGTTGAAATTTGTTTTGCATTCTGTCCTAAAGAATTTTTAATTGCCAAAATATTATTTTTATAATTTTAGTAAATGGAAAATGGTAAAGTGGGCAGGGCTTAACATCCCCTCACCCCGCAAATTGACACGCGTTGTTACATAGTGAAATCTAATTACAACACCTCTTCTTCTTCATCCATCCATTACAGCTACAAGCCCAACGCTGAACAAAGGCCTCCTCCACAGATTATCTTTTAGGGAGGATTTTGGCATAGTTGGCATGCTTGGCAGGCGAGTTAGCAACTCGAACTACATATTTTAAGTTGTTATTGGGAAAATGCTGCTGCCCATCCTCCTCCATTATCCTGTTCCAGTTTGTTGCCTCTTACGAAACCCAGGGGCGATATGGGATAGTGGATATTCTTACACTGTCACTACACAAAATAAGCATTACCTTCACAATTTGTAATTCACAAGTATCACCTATATTAGAAAACGCAAAGATTTACCTGTAAAGCATTCTGGCTGGGCTCTTGTGTTTTCGTTTCGTTGAGGGTTGGGAACTTGAACGAGAATCCCTTGGGAAAGATTGGCCTTGTCAGTAAAGCTTCCAATTGTCTTTTCTTGAAACTCAAAGCCTTGTCTATGGAACGGTCTACTTGTTTTATTGGTCTGTAGTGTCGAGTTAAGGTTTTAGAGGCCAAAGCCATGGTAGCTCAGGGACTAACAGTTTTATTTAGAATAGGATGACAAACGAACACACAGTCCACCTGATGGTAAGTGGTTGCTGTGACTCATAGACATCTACATCTATCCTCAATAAAGAATCAAAATGCATATACGTTATCACCCGTGAGGACTAAGATGAAATGCCTCTTTTCCAGTAAAAAAGGTCTCCGGTTCTCTACACTCACCATACAAAACATAGCAGTGATAAGCTGCTATTTTACACTGGTATTCTGTGAGAGCGTGGTCCTTCCCCGGTCGAGCTGACCCATTATTACCAATACAACTATACTGCCAATATAGCTGCAGCATGGCTCTACAACGTATACGCTTGCTGTAAATTTAACAGTACACGAACAACCTGAGTTCGATCTCCACCGGCACCAATAAAATTGTTAACTGCACTGTCGTGCCGATATATCTTAACGTGGTAGAGCCACGCTGCAACTATATTATGGTTGTAGTTTGAATGGTTCGGTTCAACCGGTGAAGGACTATGCTCTCACATAATACCAGCGTAAAATAGCAGCGGGGACTCATTTTACCGGGTATCTAGGCATTTTATCTTAGTCCTCAGGCGAGACAATGCATCTACTACGTAATCGAGGATAGATGTAGACTTCTATGGTCCACACTACATCAGGTGGTCTGTGTGCCCGTTTGTTACTCTTACTCTATAAAGAAAACCTAAGCTAAAAGAATATATAGCTGACGTGAAGAATCGACGCTCTGGGAAGTTTACTGTCTGTTACTTACTAACTTGACGACTTGTAATGTATACATTATTCAATATAAATTACTACGTAGTGGAGCCATGCTGCAGTTATATTAGTAGTATAGTTGTAGCACGAATGGGTCGGCTTGACCGGGAAAGGACCACGCTCTCACAGAATACCAGCGTAAAATATCAGCTTAACACTGCTGTTTCGTATGGTGAATGTAGAGAATCGGAGACCCTTTTTACTGGTAAAGAGGCATTCCATCTTAGTCCTCACGGGTGACAACGCATCTGCATTTGATTCGCAAACGAGGATAGATCTAAATGTCTATGGGCCACAGCAACCACTTACCATCAAGTTGAGACTGTGTGCTCGTTTGTCAGCCTATCCTATAAAAAAGAATACTTATTGAGTCATTTATGCTATTACCACTGGTTCTGAAAAAACCTCTGTCTTAGGGAAGATCCAACAAGAAACCCAGAGGGATTTTCTGCAAGATTATTCCTGTTAAGACTATGACGTCATAAACTGGTTCATTCTCAGACAATGTCTATTGAAACAATTTTGAGAGCTCATAGTTTTCAGTTTCTAATCTTCAAAAAGGATACACGTCATCTTCGTCGATGATAATGTCCATTTCCCTAGCCGCCTTCTCCCTCCAACCCTCGGCCTGTGAGGCGCGCCTTCGCTTCAGCAGCAAGGCGTCTATTTCCCTCGCCAATGACACCAGTTCCCGTATGGTCGGCATACTCTGTTCCATTACCGGGAACGAAGCCAGTTCCGTTGCTGTGGTCAAACGAAAATGAGACATAAAAGTTAATAATTTAAAATTAAAATTTTGTACAACCGACTTCAATACAAGTTATTAGTTATAACTCAAAAACTATTGGTTAGACCTTGATCAAATTTATATGGGACCACATGAGAAGCACCAGTTTTCAAATAAAAAAGAATCATCGAAATCGGTTAATCTGGAAAAAACACATAAAAAAGAACATACAGTCGAATTGAGTACCTCCTCCTTTTTGAAGCCGGTAGAAAAGGACAGAATGATTGAGATTTTTTTTAATTAATTTTTCTTCAACATTTGCCCACATTACTTATTCTCAACCTTCTCTGCAAATTTGGCAGGTTATTGCAAAATAACCCTGTGTATATTAATCTATGCTTTTAACTGATCGCTCCGACAGACACGCACGCTATCGCAATGTGCACGTTCCACCCATGGTCACGGGGGTGCTGTAAAGTACCCGAAACGTCGGGAATCAATAAAAACGAGATAATTAAACGCGATAAAATCCGTAAAAGTAGTATTATTCAATGTGTAGTATTAGCGTAAATATAAGATTCTTTTCTTTCTAAATTTAAAGTAAACACTTTCCAAAAGTAAAAAATCGTCGACCGATGAACTGGAGGCCGTGGTTGTCAATAAGGGCAGATTTACCTGTTTCTTTATGCAGGTTAACCCTGCACCGAACGGTACCGACCAGCACAGATTTGTCTGTACCGGAAACCTGTTTCTTTATATAAGCAACTTACGACGCGACGTTGCAAGTTCTCTCATCGACTCGGAGCGGGGAATCCCCGCCGAGGTCGGCCCCGCGCAGTGCTGCCAACCCTACTGCTTTAACAGTAGACTTACTGTTTTCAACAAGACAGCCCTGTTTTCTGTTTTAGTACAGGGAGGCTATGAGTCATAGCCTCCCTTAGCTATAGGGCCACACTTGGCAGGAGGGTCGGCAACCGCAATTTTCCCATCCCAACCCCCCCACCATCTTTTATTTCAGCTTCCCTCTGTCTCTTTTTGCGACACCCACGGAACGATATGGAGTAATGGATATTCTTACCCCGCCACTACCGGTGACCTATATTACGAGCAACGCGGCATTACAGTAAATCTAAAATATATACCATCACACATGGGGGTCTGTGCTCAGCTGTGAGACGCATATATGAAACTCACTTTTGTTCAAAGTCCGACAAAGTTTCGCATACGAATACGCTTCGGAGGGCTCCATCATTAGTATTGTGAGGCCTTCTTTAGTCGCTCGAGCCGTTCTGCCACTTCGATGGACATAATTCTGTAAGGAAATGTAAACAATCAATTAAAGATTCAAAATATGTCACAATTCTTGCCTACTTCCGAATGTTTTCAGACAGAAAAAAGAATATGACTGAATAAAAACGTGGTAAAAAGAAGTCAATTCTTCGCTTTAATTTATTAAATGATGCCAGTAAAAAGATCACAAAAAATACACAAATGGTGTCCATTAAACATTTAGATAATTTTAGAAATTTTTAATTTTTACTTGCTAATTGACCCCCAAACTTTGGTTGACTTAAGGACCCTGCATGGTATAAAATGGCCCCTGTTATTTATTATTGTGATATTGAATTGTATGCCATGTTATGATATTGTTTTAGTCTTTTTGCTCTATATACGTCATAGAGCCACTAGCAGCTTAATTATAGCTGTAGCACAAATACGTTGGCTTGACCAAGAAAGGACCACGCTCTCACAGAATACCAACGAAAAATATGGGCTTAATACTGCTGTGTTTCGTATGGTGAGAATAGAAAACCGGAGACTCTTTTTAGTGGAAACGAGGCATTCCATTTTAGTACTCAGGGGTGACAAAACATCTGCATTTTAATTCGCAGTCTGTATAAATGTAGGTTTGTCACCACTCATCACCACTCACTTGTCATCAGAGGCGCTCGTGACTTGGATGGCGGTATAAAATCAACGGATGTAAAAAGCAACTGCTATCATAAATTCGCACCCTTAACGTGACTTTAATGATATAATCTAATGATTTAAAATTAAAAATTTTGTACAGCCAACTTCAATATAAATTATTAAGAATAACTTAAAAACTATTGGTCTGACCTTGATCAAATTCATATGGGACCACATGTGAAGTACCAGCTTTCAAATAAAAAAAAGAATCATCGAAATCACATAAAAAAACATACAGTCCAATTAAGTACCATCTCCTTTTTGAAGTCGGCAGAAAAGGGAACAGTCCATATCCAGATGGGGGCAATTTATAAGCTGATGCAGAGGAATAAATGTGGAGAAAGAACGTACTTCCGCCGTCTTAGGCACTTGATAATGTATGACGTGGTCCACGTCGGGGATGTCCAGACCGCGGGCAGCGACATCTGTCGCCACCAGTACACCGTGTGGGTCGTCTCTAAACCTAAAAATCATAGAAAACATAACATATCACTCTTTACTATTTTTTCTAATATATTTTGTCAACCATATTCCATATAAAAAAGAATGAAAAAATAAATGCTAACGCGACTGTGAATATTCGTTACATCACTACTGGGTACACTTTGCTCTCCAAAACTGTATTTTTTTTTTATAGGAGAGGGGGCAAACGAGCATGCGGCTCACCTGATGGTAAGTGACTACCGCCGCCCATGAACAACCGCAACACCAGGGGAATTGCAGATGCGTTACAGGTCAAGCTTATAAAATTATGTAAACATAAAACTAACCTTTCTAGATTCTTCAGCCTTTGCCTTTGCGGCATGCTAGCGTGCAGCGGTAGAGGGTGACACTTCAGCAAAGTGAACAGTTGTGCCAACCTGTAAATTTAATAGTACGTTGCTTTTATAAGGTACGGTAAGATACTTTTATATATATACATATAGTCCACCTACATTAAGAATCAAAATGCAGATACGTTGTCACACCTGAGGACTGAGATGGAATGCATCGTTTCCAGCAAAAGGGTCTCCGGTTCTCTACACTCACCATACAAAACGCAATAGCATTAAGCTGCTATTTTGCGCTGGTATTCTGTGAGAGCGTGTTCCTTCCCCGATTGAGACGCCCCATTCGTGCTGCATATCATAATATAATATAGCTGCAGCATGGCTCTACCACGTAATAACGTAACGTAACATACTTTGAACATGGTAGAGCCACGCTGCTGCAATATTATAGTTATAGCAAGAGTGGGTCGGCTCGAATGGGGAAGGAACACGCTCTCACAGAACACATTTAAAATCAAGCAATGTGTGTGTTTGTAAATAGTATAGTGGTGGTGTAATAATATATCCTGCTTCATATTGTCAGATGCGTGTAATAGCAGCATTTTCCCGATAAAAACTCTAAACAAATTTTGGAAAATCCAAAAGTGCACGCCTCATGAGCGTTTAAATTTCTTATCAAAAAAAATAAATAACTATTAATCGATGTTGAGTTCAATAGCAAAAATCAATAACCCTCCTTAGAATGTATGGAATCTTATTTAATACTAGCTGTTTCCCGCGACTTCGCTCGCGCGTTAGGGTTTTTGTTTTTGCGCTGAACCCTAATACTTTTCTCTGATATAAAAGTAGCCTAAGTTACTCCTTATAAATCAGCTATCTGCCAGTGAAATTCCCGTCAAAATCGGTTCAGCCGTTTCGGAGATTACCCGGAACAAACAGACAGACAGATAGACAGACAAATATTTTAAAAATTGTATTTTAGTTATAAGTACCTACTGTATTTATTTTCATATGCATTTAATAAAAAACTGTAATTTTGACATTACAAACAGACACTTCAATTTTATTTATTTGTATAGACTATTATCTCAATCTATTACTTACATTTCTATTATGCGAGAAGACTCACCGACGCACAGACCAACGGACAGCAGTCCATATATTTTTTCAATTACATTTTTTGTTATGTAATCTAAACTAAATCAATTAAAAAATAAACTAATCTTATAATTCAATGTCTGTAGTTATTGTAAAGTTAATAATAATATGGATTTGATATCTAGCTAAAAGTATAAGAACGATTTTTATAACGAATTTGAGGTATGACCACATATCGAGAGTAGAGCACTCCCTCACATTGTGAGGCATTGCAATATTAAAAAACCGCGGATGCCAACACACCTGCCAAGCGTCACAACTATGACAAAAGCCTCCTTATTATGCAATCTATGGGAGAGGCCTACAGGTGACTCTTATAAGATGTAATGGATGGATAAACGGAAAGATTATGTGTTTACCTTCTAACGCTGCCTATAGAGTTGCAAAACACTATAGTCCTCCCGGGATGTTTCTTCAATATATAATACAAATATGCGTCTTTATTTTCTAAAGAGCATGCAATCCGGCATTCCGTCAACGTTTCCGCTGCACCTAAAAAAATAATACATAACAAACGAAATTAAAAAAAAAGAACATTAAAAGAATTATAATGTTCTCCAGACCAGACAAGTTTCGTGACATATTGCACGAGTGTATGCGCAAGCACTGGTGCACTCCCTATTGCCTCATTCTCATAGTCCGATGAGACGGTAACCCGGTATTACGTGGTAGAGCCAAGCTGCAGCTATATTAGTAGTATAGTTGTAGCACGAACGGTTCGGCTAGACTGGGGATGTACCACGCTCTCACAGAATACCAGCGTAAAATGGCAGCTTAACACTGCTGTTTCGTATGGTGAGTGTAGAGAACCTTTTTTACTGAAAACGAGGTATTTCATCTTAGTCCTCAAGGCTGACAACGCACCTGCATTTTGATTCGCAAACGAAGATAGATGTAGATGTCTATGGGCCACAGCAACCACTTACCATCGGGTGGACTGTGTGCTCGTTTGTCGCCCTATTTCTATAAAAAAGGATAGAGATCAGGCGTAGGACACTAAAGCACCGCCAACTTATTTGACAGAAAACCCCAATAATTGATTTTGGCCCGATTCGGTATTCGAACCCGGGACCTCACTATCTGTAATCGCGTTTATGGCCACTGGACTAACAAGGCGGCCGAAAGGCGACAGAGGTACACTGAGACACGAGATAGGCAGTATCATCTTCCTAATAACAACTCGAAATAATAAAAAAAACTGCGTTTACCAACCTATCTGCCAAGCGTGGCAACTATAGCAAAATTCTCCTTATGAGGCAATCAATGGGGGAGGTATATGTTCAGCAGTGAACTTTTATGGGCTGTAATGAACGGATAGAGTAATATGTAAACTATTAATAAACCGCATCAACAAAATCGGTCGAGTTGAACTAATGTATCGCTTAATAACAGAAACGTAACGTTCCATGCAGGCGACGTCACGTGATATCCATTTGTTGTATACCAAAACCCTCTCCAGAATGTAACACATACTTTTCTGAAAACCGCATCAAAATCGGTTAAGGCAAACGCGAGATAATCGCAGACAAACATACATACATACAAACATACAGATCAAACTGAAAAACTCCTTTTTTCGAAGTCGTTTAATTAAAAAGACCAAAGTAACATAGGTTTAAAGATCGCACACGATGTGATGAGGACACATACAGGTTAGCGTAATAGCATTGCAAATGAAACAGAAGTAAGGGTGCGTACAAACTTTTATATACAATAGTAAGATTTGGCATAGACAAAGTTCATATGGACAACAATATACAAACATACAAAGCTAAAATTTATTTGAAATGTGTGTTATACGAGTATTACGTTATGTTACATCGTTATGTCTGTGGTTAAACAGTCGCATAGAGTAGGAATTATCATCAAAGAATTTTAAAATGTCGTCAATAAGTTACCAACAGAATGACTCAATGAGCTGTGAATTTTATGTGATTTCAAGTGTTTATTTTAATCTAAACAAACATATTTCTAAATAAAATGTAATAATAATTATTTTATGGAATTCCCAAATCTTCAATTTACGCAATATTTAATTTAGTGTACGGATTGCAGTACAGTTCAGTTGACCATAATCAATGTTCGGAATGCGAAATCTAGTGCGTAGTACATATATATATCGATGATTTTAACTGACTTTACTGCGCACGCACACATTCGTCGATCGGTAGGCGTTGTTGCACGTAAATAATATTCACTTTGGGATAATCTAATATATAAAATTCTCGTGTCGCGGTGTTTGTTACCATACTCCTCCAAAACGGCTGAATCGATTTGTATGAAATTTTGTGTGCATATCGGTTAGGTCTGAGAATCGGCCAACAGCTATTTTTCAAACCATACAAAAAAAATTATTTTATTATGATTTAGCATTGAAAAATATATAAAACTTCAAATTTTCACCCTTCTACGATCAACCGCTGTTTTTAATCGCGATTTTTAAAACTAAAAAATATCTCCTAAAAATAATGTAATAGCAAAACGACGTTTGCCGTGTCAGCTTGTTTCAAATAAAAGTAGAAGCCTTATTTACTCGTATTTTCAAAAACTGCAATAACGATATATCATTTTTTATATATTTGAACTTAAATTTAAAATTTGGCTACTTTTCGAAAAGTAACCCTGTATATGAAAGTGATAGCTTGTTTGTTATACAAAGTTAATAGTAGTTGATATGAACTTACCCAAATTCTGCGTAGTTATATCCACAACCTTGGGGTCAGTCATACCGAGCATTGTGACCAGTCTTTTGATTTTTTGCTGCGGCGTCATCTTCTCGATTTTTCTATTTAGTATCTTCCCCCGTTTTGTTACCTGAAAGTTTTATATGACCACTAAAATTAATAGTCGATTCGCTATCTATAAATTACACAAATCTGTCGACTGTATTGTCATCGACTATATTGGGCTACCTTTAAGTTTTTGGTGACTATTTTTTATAAAATTGATGCATTAAGGTTATGTGCCAATATACACAGTGACCACTATAAGGTGTGACGTCAATTCAGTATACTGTGAAGCCGTTCCTTTTTAGTTTACTATACTGGTTACTGTTTAAAACGGAACGCAGTCCAGTATACTGTCATTCCCATTTTTCGACACTATTTTAACTGAAAATATTTATCATGTACACGTTTTTTGTTCAACAAGAATAAAATTTATTTGAATGTTGTTACTTTTAAAACTTGATGTCCGAGTTTATTTGAATAACAATATTAATTAATAATAATAACAATCATTCGTGGAAGCTGTTAAATCTCTAGGCGCTGTTATGTTTTTTGATCACGTGATCAAAGTACTGATAGCACCGTACCCCGAAAACGCCAGGGCTCTAACAGTACAAAAATGTCGGCGAGTTAAGACGTCATATATTTCCGTAAGGTACTGCGACAGTATACTGGCAAGTCCACAGCGGAACGAATATTTCACCAGTGAGACCACTGAGCAGTGCTCGCAGTATATCGGAACACGACCTAAATGAAATTACAGATCACGTGATGGTATGTGACTACTGCAGCCTGTGGACACGTGGTACCAACCTTGAACAAAGAAAGCTACAAATGTGTTGCCACCATAGAGAAAATACAAAGAGGAGATGGCATAAGCAACTGTGCACTGTGATTTTAACTAGGTCCTGACGTCATCACAGTGGGCGTGGCTTTACTTAGTATACTGTCAGCGTTCGTCTTGTGCGGTTATGTGTCGAAAATCGCAAATCGGTGTATTTTCGTAGTTAAGAAGAAAAGGATGAGTGCGTCCGCTTCCAAATGTAATTAAATATATTCGACACTAGATGTCGATACTTTGTGTCATGGGAACTAAAAATATAAAGGTACGTAGAGCTCAGTATTGATAAAAAAATCATACGAAAGTGTTGAAATTTGTTTTGCATTCAGTCCTAAAGAATGTTTAATAGCCAAAAGATTATTTTTATAGTTTTTATAATCATTTTGTGAACAGGCCGCCATCTATCGTCAAGGTAGCTAAACTACATAGCAACATCGATATGGAACGATGGGAGTAGTTTTACTATTTATCGGTAGATGGAAAATAGTAAAGTGGCCGGGGTTTAACATCCCCTCACCCCGCAAATTGTCACGCGTTGTTACATAGTGAAATCTAATTACAACACCTCCTCTTTGTATTTGTTCCGTGATTGCCACCATTGAGTGGTAAGATGGAATACTTCTCAACATGTAATTATAATAGATCGGTATACCCTTTAGACAGGAACACAATAGTGCAAGCACTGCTGCTTTTCACCAGTATTAGGTATGAGTGGTACTTATGCAGGTGGACTCCTTCACAGAAACGCACTCCCACCATCTAGCAAACCTTACCTTTTTCCCTTTCATATGCGCTGGCAAATCGTGCACTAGAGTGAGCGTCGCGGAGAACACGAAGTTCTGCCTAGTGCTGCGCTGCGCTTCGTCGTTGTTTAGCCGCTCTAAAAGCGGTTGCAGCTCTTCAAAATGGCCGCGCTCGATCATACGGTCCGTCTCGTCAATAGCTAAGAACCTGAAGGAATATTGTTTTTTTTTTAAATATTGTTTGAGAGCAACATACGCGAGCATGTTAGGGCTGAATATGAATAACAGGGTGAGAAATTGTGTGATAAGAGAAAGTATGGTTTGCAAGATAATGTTGTTACAAGGATTTAGAATAGAACTCGGTGAACGAGGAAAGAGTGACAAAGCAATTTTATGTTGCAGAAGTGAACGGCAGAGTCGGGAAGGGATGCCTTAAACGAAAGTTTATCGAACAAACTGTCCATATATTGAATATGGACCAGATTAAGAGTACCCTTAACCGACGAGCATGTATGCGTAGATATATGGATGTAAAGGAGGTGAGAGGTCCGTCACGGTCGTGCCAAATGGAAGTCCGTAGTCTCTGCCTACCCCTCTGGGTGACAGGCGTGAGTGAGAGAGACACTATTTTCTTATTTTAAACTTATTGAAAATTATTTTCGACTTTTTAGTTACAAAAGCGTGTTTTTTTTTCTACCGACTTCAAAAAGGAGACGGTACTCAATTTTTTATGTGTGTTACCTCATAACTTTTTACTGAGTGAACCGATTTCGATGATTCTTTTTTTATTTGAAAGCTGGTGCTTCACATGTGGTCCCATATAAATTTGATCAAGGTCTGACCAATAGTTTTTAAGTTATTCCTAATAATTTATATTGAAGTCGGTTATACAACATTTTAAATTTTAAATTATAAACTATTATTTATTAATAAATAGGCTACGCCTCAAGGGAACTACCATATAAATTTTGAAGGAAAAAAAATACTAACTCAAAAAGACGTTACATTAAAAAAAAACTTCAACCGTTTAAACAACTATTTACTGCCGTTCACTTCTTGAACATAAAATTGCTTTGTCACTCTTTCCTCGTTCACCGAAGCATTCTTTTCTAAATCCTTGTGACAACATTATCTTGCAAACCACACTTTCTCTTATCACACAATTTCTCACCCTGTTATTCATATTCAGCCCAAACATACTCGCGTATGTTGCTCTCAAACAATATTTTCTACGCGGTAGAGCCATGCTGCAGGTATATTATGGTTGTAGCACGAATGGGTCGGCTCGACCGGGGAAGGACCACGCTCTCACAGAAAACCAGCGTAAAATAGCAGCTTAACGCTGCTGTGTTTCGTATGGTGACTGTAGAGAACCGGAGACCCTTTTTTACTGGCAAAGAGGCATTCCATCTTAGTCCTCATGGGTGACAACGCATCTGCATCTTGAGTCTTTATTGAGATAGATATAGATGTCTATGGGTCACAGTAACCACTTACCATCAGGTGGACTGTGTGCTCGTTTTTCACAAGATCCTATAAAAAAAAACTAATTCTAATTGTTACCTGTGTAACTTTGATCTTCACACACTATGTGAAAATTATTTTATTCCTTTTAGTTCTTTTTTTTAGGTTTTTTTTAAGTTTAATTCTGATAATAATAATTATTCTTAATAGATGTATATATCTATGGGCCATAGCATGCACTAACCATCAACCAGCTGGAATGTGTGCAATGATGGATTTACAGTTCTCACTTATAACACCACTCACTTAACTGAGCTGAGCTGTTGTAGATGCGGTTGTCCCTGAATTATTAGCTCCCAAAGGCGTCCCGGAGTGGCCACAACAATTTCTGGTCCCGAACGTAGCACTCTCTCTTGCTTCACGGCCGCCATCCCGCCGACTATCGTAGCTATTTTGATACCTGTTAATGTATTTTAAAAACTATATTTTTTTATTTTATTCATTAATAATTATCACGTGACCCCTAGTGAAAATGAGTAATAATGTTCTATAGACCGAATTTCGGTCACGTCGGCCAGTCTCAACGGAGACTGGCCATCTGCGCAGAACAGGATTATAGTAAACAAGTGCACAAGCACAAGTGCACTCTATTCTCTCACTCTCATACTCAGTTGAAATACTCAGTTGAGACATCTGGACTCAGGGGGTCCATTTCTACACAGGGAATCAGTGATAGGGTTAGAGCTGCTAATTCTTAAACCCAACGGTCCGCGAAGCATGTATGGGGAGTGCGTGCTCTCTCAGCAGCCAAGTACCAAGCCTTGGGTTAATCCCAACGAGCTGTCCCGAAGCCCGGCCGTAAAGGCTGTCTCTCATGTGAAGTCTACAAAGTTGTCTCAACTGAGTATCTCACTGAGTATCTCATAGTTATATGGAACGGTAATCCAACATGACCAGAGAGAGATCAGGCGCATGACCCACGGCTTTACGTACTTTTCCAGGCACGGGGGTGAGACACCGCCAACTTCCTGGGGTCTCAACTTTCTGGGGTCAGAATGCTACTAAAAATTTCTTGAATGAAAAACTCAAAAACTGATTTTTGCATTATTCTTCAGCAGTCGCGTTTACGACCACTGGAGACCACATAGACCAACGAGGCAGTCTTGACACATATTTTTTTTAATAAAAATACTAGCCACGCTATTAACATCACTAATATAACAACTCCTGGTACGCTTAAAATGCTCGTGTTACGATTGGTTCACGACAGTAGTCGAATGGCGGATTCGAACCCACGACGAATAATCTAAAGCACTAACATTTCATAACAATCCTTTTATCGAGATAAAAATATTTGCGAAATTTTTGCTAAAGCAATTCAACCAACGCGATAAAATTGTCAGGATGTAGGCAGCGTTCCGACGACAGTGACGACACGCACCCGCTACGCGCACGCCACGCGCGTCAGAACCCGCGTCTAACTCGCTTTGAAATTTGTTGCATATAATTTGAGTCTTATGGCAAATCAATAAATGTGAAATTGCATTTATCGACGTTCAACCGCCCACGCCTCGCCCACGCCACGCACCCGCATCGTTCCCACTCCGCGCCGGCCCCGCGCTCGCCCCGCGCTCGCCCCGCACACGCGCTGCACCCGCCCCGCTACGCCCTACGCCCGCGCTTTTTATACAATTTCAGATTTATTGATTTGTCATAAGACTCAAATTATATACAACAAATTTCAATGCGAGTTAGACGGAACGCGGCCGTATTATATAAAAAAGAAACCGATTGAACACTATCTTTATTAAAATCCTTGTAATGGCTGAAAAAATAATCTTTTCCCATATTTATAGGTTGTTCAGATCTATTTACTTATCAAACACTAATTTGTGGTGTACGAGACAAGATTTTCTATACAAATATACTAAACCATTTTTTTCTGGTAAATCAAATAGGTAATCTTTTGTTCCTACTGTTAACACACGGGCTGTAACGTCGTCAGGTTGCGGTGATGTTGTATTAACATACGACAATCGTCGTTAAAGTCGTTTTGAGTTCAGTCCACAGCCTGCTATTAGACTACTGTCGCTTAAATACATAATTACAATATGGAACATTGCCATTCATGTCATCAATATCAATATGGCCAATATACCTTACCCAGGTTAGACAACATGCTTCGTGGGATGAAACGGAGTCCAATCACAATTCATTCAACGTCGGGAATTAAAATATGTATATTAAATGCGATAAAATCCGTAAAAAAAATAGTTTTATTCAATTTATTCATTGTAGCCTATGAAAATTTCACTACTGATCATGGGCCTCCCCCATAGATTGACTCGTAACAATCATAAACCATGGGTGCCATGCTTGAGAGACGGATTGCCAATCGCAGGTTTTTATTCCTGTGTAATTTCCAAATCTACCCTTTAGGCCGGCCACATACATACGGAATTCCGTTTCGAATGAATGCATCACACACATACGTTTTGTATCCGTTCGGTTTAACAAGGGTCAGTTGAGAGACGTTAGCCACTGAGTCTAGACATTCTGCACAGCGAATAATGACGACGATTTTCCAATTGCGATTCCATTGTTGCTGTACGCTAGGTGTTTAGGCTAGGTTTTATATGGACTTGCTGCTTTCGGAATTCCGAATCGGAATATCGAAACGGAAGTCCGTATGTATGTGGCCGGCCTAAGGCCATCTTATTTCATTTAATAATTCGTCGAAAAAGTTTACAGACATCAATATTTTAAAAATATCTCTGGATAGATAGATATTTTTACATAATATTGACTATATTGCAAGCTTAGGGTGATAAGGAGATGGCACCTAGTAAGAATGATGCAGGAACAATGGAATAGCAATCAGAAAACCGTCGTTATTATTTACTGACAGAATGTCTAGACTCAATGGCTAACATATCTCAACTGACCCTTGCTATTCCGAACGGAAATAAACGTATGTGTGTGATGAATTCACGGAATCCCAAATCGGAATATCGAAACGGAATCCCAAAACGGAATTCCGTATGTATGTGGCCGGCCTTACGCAACGTACGAGACAAAATTGGGTGATTGATTCTCTTACCACACTAACAAATGACATTGACAATGGCAATACAGTACTTTTACAATACATTAAAAAGTAAAGGTAACATACATATATATTCACTATGTCATATTTAAAATATTGCTGTTTAAGCCTAAAATCAATGAAGTCTCATCAACAAATAAAATTATATCATCATTTCATCATCCATACTATCATATAAAAGTCCACGGCTGAACACAGTCCTCCCAAAAGACTGCCTTATTGGAATAATTTTGCTATAGTTGCCACACTTGGCAATCGCAGTTTTATTTATTTATTTATTTATTAATAATAATAATAATCTTTATTTGCATAAAACATGGTAAGTATAGATACAGATGTTTTAGTTGTATTGTGCTCTCATGTTTTGCTATTTTAATATGACATAGCATGCAAATTATCTTTAAATTATGAATTTAAACAATAAGAAACTTTAAACAAAAAAATGACCTATATGATATTAAAAATTAACAAATTAAACATTATTTCAAATCATATTATACAATGTCAGAATTACAACACACTAATGGCCTGAATATAATGTCAGAATATGGCTTACAATGTCAGAAATTCGTTAATGTCATAAAAAATTTTGTCAATTAACCAAAGGTACAGTCTATTTTTAAATAAATTCATATTATTAAAACTTTTATGCACAAAAGAAAAATCGTGAAGTTAGTTTAGTTTAGTCAATAGTTTTTATAATTTTTATTTGTTGTTCAGATGTTGCTGCCCACCTCCCGTTTGATTTTCCCTCTGTCGCCTCTTACGACACCCATGGTTCGATTTGGGGTAATGGATATTCTTACACCGCCCCTACACAGTTAAAGAAAAAACTATACCATGGTTAATTTACTCTTCAAACTGGAACATGACATCAGGTGCACTACTGCTCAGTAGAAGAAACAAAAGAGGGTGATACATACTTAAGTAATTTCCTAGGCATCCCTAGACATTAATAAACAAAATTCATCTAATTTCTATATACAATTTATTCATTTATTAATTCATTTTAAGAAGGCTTACAGACAAATATCTACGTAAAGTTACAAAATGGTGATAAGAATTGCAAATTACAAGCCTCCACATATATTTCTTTTTATATAGGATAGGGTAATAAACGAACACATAGTCCACCTGATGGTAAGTGGTTGCTGTGACCCATATACATCTACATTTATCCTCAATGAAGAATCAAAATGCAGATGCGTCGCCACCCGTGAGGACTAAGATAGAATGCCTCTTTTCCAGTAAAATGGGTCTCCGGTTCTCTACACCCACCATACGAAACACAGCAGTGTCAAGCAGCCATTTTATGCTGGTATTCTGTGAGAGTGTGGTCCTTCCCCGGTCGAGCCGACCCATTCGTGCTACAACTATACTACTAATATAGCAGCAGCATGGCTCTACCACGTGTAAATATATATATTATCATACTTTTATCTGACTTTATGCAAATTTAAAATATTCCAGGGATTGCTTAAACTCACAAAAACAATAAACAAAAAAATCGCAAAAACAATAACAAAAATAAAACGCATAAATTAGACCTTGCAGTTTGAGTCATGTTAAGTTACAGGTGTGAGTGAAAAAATGTATGTATATGAAATGTAAACCAAATAATTGTTACCTGTATATTTTGCAGCTGCAATAAGATGTCTGCTGATTTGTATAGCCAGTTCTCTCGTAGGTGTAAGTATGAGTGCATATAGAGGCTTCCCCGTCCTCACTTCCACTGGTCCTGGCATCTCTATGTTCTCAATCACTTTCACACAGCCAATACCTATAAGTAAATTTAGTAAATTAATATCCTGGCATTAGAGAATTCATCACTTAAGCTACCCTTTGTCTGTCTTAAGAAGTAACCTTTAGTGAATTACTAACTTCATATAATTTAGAGTTTTACTTGTGTATATGGATAATCATCATCATTCATCATTACAGCCCTTCACAAGTCCACTGCTGAACATAGGCCTCCCCCAAAGAATGCCACAAAGCACGGTCCTGAGCCACCTGCATCCATCGACTTCCTGCATGTCTTACCAGGTCGTCACTCCATCTCGTGGGGGGACGCCCTACACTTCGCCTACCGGTACGAGGTTGCCACTCGACAACCTTTCTTCCCCATCGGTTGTCGGTTCTTCGAGCTATATGGCCGGCCCACTGCCACTTCAGCTTACTAATTCGTTGGGCTATGTCGGTTATTCTGGTTCTACTGCGGATATCCTCATTCCTAAGTTTATCACGCAGAGAAACTCCAAGCATAGCCCTCTCCATAGCTCGCTGAGCGACCTTGAGCTTCCTCATACGGCCAGCAGTGAAGGACCACGTCTCAGTTCCGTAAGTCATCACTGGCAACACGCACTGGTTGTACAATTTCGTTTTAAGGTTTTGAGGTATGTCTGACGAGAAGATGTGTCGTAGCTTCCCGAACGCTGCCCAGCCGAGTTGAATCCGTCGATTGACCTCTCGGTCGAAGTTGGACTTACCTAGTCGGACTATTTGTCCCAGGTAAACATACTCGTCAACAACTTCGAGCTTAGTGCTCCCAACAACTACCGGCATAGGTGTGACATGGACATTAAACATGATCTTAGTTTTGTCCATGTTCATCTTAAGACCTATCCGTTGGGAAACACTATTGAGGTCATTGAGCATAGTGCTTAGGTCCTCCAGCGATTCTGCCATAAGGACTATATCGTCGGCAAATCGAAGGTGAGTGATGTACTCGCCATTGATGTTTATACCGTATCCTTTCCAGTCTAGAAGCTTGAAAACGTCTTCCAATGCAGCGGTGAAGAGTTTCGGGGATATGACGTCACCCTGTCTTACACCTCTCTGCAATTGGATAGGTTTCGTACTCTGGTTCTGTACTCGGATAGCCATCGTAGCCCTACTGTACAAGCACTTCAACACTTCGATATACCGACAGTCAATTTGGCACCGCTGAAGGGACTGCAGCACCGCCCAAATTTCGACGGAATCAAAGGCTTTCTCATAGTCCACATACGCCAGACATAGTGGCAAATTGTACTCTTCGGACTTCTGTACAACTTGCCGAAGGGTATGTATGTGGTCTATGGTGCTAAAGCCCTTTCGGAAACCGGCTTGTTCGGGAGGCTGGAAGTCGTCAAGTCTGCGCGCGAGACGATTCGTAATGACTCTCGAAAACAGCACGTAGACGCGGCTCAGAAGGGAAATCGGTCTGTAGTTCTTCAAGAGAGCGTTGTCACCTTTCTTGAAGAACAAGACCACCGCACTTCTGCTCCACGCCTCCGGTGTAATGCCACCATGGAGGACGGAATTAAAGAGCTTCTCAAGTACCGGTCTTCCACCTGCTTTCAGAAGCTCCGCTGTAATTCCATCCTCGCCTGGGGCCTTACCGTTTTTAAGGTGCTGGAGAGCCATTCTAATCTCGCTCAGACTGACGTCCGGGATATCTTCGGAATAGTGTCGGATGAGACTCGCTCTTGGATCGTTACTCACACTTGCGTGTGGCTCCAACGATGACGTGTACAGCTGCCCATAGAACCTCTCAATCTCACTCAAAATCTCAGGTGTCCCGGAAACGATGCTGCCACATTCTGTCTTCAGCTTTGACAGTTGGCTCTTTCTGGCAGACAGATCTCTGGCAAAGACTTTGGAGCCTTGGTTCCGCTCTATCGCTTCTTCAATACGAGCTGTATTGAAGTTGCGTAAGTCCCGCCGCATGCATTTGGAGATCTGTCTGTTCAGATGCCTGTATGCTGTCAAGTCTGTTGAAGAATGTAGCTTCATCTCCCGTCTAACAGCCATGAGATTAAGAGTGTGATCGGAGAGTTTTTGTGTTCTTCTGCGGCGGGTCTTGCAGAACTTAGCTCCGACCGCATGGACAGTTTCCACGAGCTTGTCATTTATATCGTCCACTTCATTGCAGTCTTCTAGGCACTGAAATCGGTTTTGTAACTCGAGCTGAAAGGTTTCGGGACTTTGGAACAGAGCACGAGGGGGACGGAGCGTTGACTTCATTAGACGAGACCTCTCCAACTTAACGTTTAGGTTCAGTGTGCCTCTAACCATTCGGTGATCGCTACCAGTTTTCACCCTCGCGATCACGGAGACATCACTGAACAGTTGTCGTCTGGTCGTCATAATGAAGTCAATCTCATTTTTTGTCGAACCGTCGGGGCTCGACCAGGTCCACTTCCTGTGGGGCCGCTTCTGGAAGAAAGAGTTCATCATAAAGAGTCCCTCTTTCTCCATGAAGTCGGCCAGCTGCTGGCCCCTTGGGTTCCGTTGCCCTATTCCAAATTTCCCTACTTTCAGCTCACCGTTCTCTCTTGTGCCTAGTTTTGCATTGAAGTCTCCCATTAACACCGTATATTGGGTTTTGGAGGAATGCATGGCTCTAGAGATATCCTCATACATTTCCTCCACCTCCTGATCGGGGTGTGCCGAGGTTGGTGCGTAAACCTGTATGACCTTCAGCGAATACCGTTTGGTGATTCTGAGTATAAGGTACGCAACCCTCGTCGACACACTCCCGATCTTTACAACGTTGTTAACGAGAGACTTGTGGACGATAAATCCGACACCTCCTTGGGACAGATGGTCGCCCTCCCGGTGATAGAGCAAGTTGCCGGATTCGAGGATTACCGTGTCCTCCCCCTCTCTTCGGACTTCGGATAATCCTATAATATGCCAGCGCAACTTGTCTATCTCTTCTTCCAGCTCCACGATCTTCTCGTCAGTCCTCAGGGTGCGTGCGTTGTACGTTGCCAGGTCGAGTCGTCTAAGGTGGCAACCGAACCTCCACCGGAGATTCTTAGCACCCCCTGCCCCGCCGTTACCATGGTCGCCACCGTAGCCAGGAATAGCGGGGCCGCCGGGGACTGGGGGCCGTCTGTTTGTTGCTTTAGTCATTGGGGGGTATTTGCCATAGTTGCCACGCTTGGCGAGCGGGTTGCCAACCGCAGTTTTTTTATTATAATTTTGGCTATTATCAGGAAGATGCTGCTGCCCATCTTCTGCCTGTTTCCCTTTGTCGCCTTTTACGACACCCACGGGAGGATATGGGGTAGTGGATATTCTTGACCGCCACTACACGGCAAAATCATACTTAATGTATTTATAAAAATATATATGTTCGTTAGGTATATGAAAAGTAATTTTAATTTTTAACCATTTTAACACATATTGCAAGTCTTCTGTGATTGTCACTGAATATAATATAAGAATGATGTCTCCGTGGCACAATGCCTTAGAAAGGAGTTATAGCTGAGGGCCGAGGGTTTAAATCCCGCACGGAACAAGTATTTGAATGGCCTACAAATAATTGTTCCATTTATGTATGTAAAGTGCCTCCATGATATAGAGGAGAAAACCCTAATGTTGGGGTACGTTTTAAAAAGGTTGACAACAAACCAGTTTTACAGAATAGAATAGAATATTTTTTTATTCAATATTGATTATTACATAATTCTTATTGAAAGTCATTTTTTATTTACCACTGGTTCGGAAAACACCCCAGTCCTGGGAAGAACACAAGCAAGAAACCCAGTGAGACTTTATTTTTTCAAACATATTTCACTTAACAAAAATTTCGTTTATACAATTTTAAATGATTTATCATAGAACCAGCATGGTGGCGATCACCTTATTCCCAGGGTTTATTTTCATTCATGTATTCCTTGATATTATAATAACCCTTTTTGTACAGTCTTTCTTTAATAAAACTTTTAAACTTGTTTATTGACAAACTTTGAATATGTTCTGGGATTTTGTTGTAAAAGCGTATACATTGCCCAGAGTCTAGTAACTGGTATGTGCATACTTTAAACACTAGGAACAAACATAAGCTTGTAGCTTATGTTTGTTCCTAGTGTTTAAAGTATGCACATCCTTATTCTTATTAAAACTATTTATGTTTTTATGTACATACATTACATTTTCATAAATATATTGCGATGGCAAAGTTAATATGTTTATTTCTTTAAATTTTTGTCTGAGGGACTCTTTACAATTTAGGTTATAAATCGCCCGAACGGCTCTCTTTTGCAAAACAAATATAGCTTCAATATCAGTTGCATTACCCTATAGCAAAATTCCATAAGACATTATGCTATGAAAGTAACTAAAATACACTAATCTAGCTGTCTCAACATCTGTAAGACTTCTTCTTTCTTACAGCATATGCTGCAGAACTAAGTCTGCTTACTAATTTAGATATATGGGGGCCCCATTGAAGTTTCGCGTCAATAGTAATACTAAGAAAAACAGTGGTATCCACAAGACTCAACTCCTCCCCATTTAACAGCACATTGGTATTCGAATGTTTTACATTATTAAGAAGTTTTTACAGAATTAAACTTTTAGTAAAAAGCAAATGCCGACGTCAATGTACTTAAAAGAACAAAATCATTTCTACAATAACACCTAAAGTTGATGATTTCTGAAGTAAGTAAGTAATTAATTTATTATTTATGTTGTGTGGAATTATTTTGTCATAGTTCTTTAAATATGGCTTTTCCTTTTATTAACTTTAATGTTTTGAACCCTTTGACCAATTGAGTTGTTTTAATAGTTACATTAAAAATTACATCCCTAATTTTTCCACCCTGAGGGTTATGAATTTTTCTCCAAAATTATATGGGATCACTTCTGTATAATAAAATATCATAAAATTTGGTTCACAATAATTGACGACATTATTGCATAACATATATACAAAAAATATTCAGTCCAATTGAGAACCTTTCTTTCACTAGACATATGTCAGGACCTACGATCAAAAAATATAGTAATGACCGACATTACTATACCCTATGGTTGTAGGTTCTGTCATTTGTTTGATTGGAACATTCAAAAAAATGTAATTGCCATCATCAATACTTTGATGAGATCCGTCTCAAAGGAACAAATCATTCATCAATCATGAGTCTAGTAGTCACCTAATAAAAACCAACCATCTTTCAAGCATGGCTATGTATTGAAAAAAAACTAGTAACAAATTATAGAAGTTACCTTTTTCATCCACCTCATCAACTCCATCTGTTTCTTCGCCTATTTCATTATCAATGTCTTCATTTGATCCTTTATCTGTTTCGTCATCACTTGTTTCAACTAAATCATCAGAATCTAACATTTCTGACAGATGTACATAATTGTCACTTTCATCACTATCATTCCCTTCATCAACTGAGGTCTCCCTCTTCTTTATAGGCACTTCTATTTCTTCTAGAAATTCATCCTCATGTCTAGTGTCTTCCTTATTGTCTTCTGCATCTTCACTGTCATCACCACTGCCATAGCCATCTTCAGAAGATTCCTTGTGTTTTTCTACTTTTCTCTTTTTATTTGAACGATTTTTTCTTACTTTTTGTTTTACATCTTCAACTACATGTTTCCTTTTCACAGATGTCTTTTTGTAGGGAATTTCATACACATCAAATCCAGCTTCAGCCTTTTCCTTTAGTTTCATAATTCCAGATAAAATTGGAAGACCAAAGGCTAGGGTTTTCCCACTACCAGTTTCTGCAGCACCAAGAATATCTCTACGGCCTAGAAGAAAAATAAAATGAAAATAGTAACTATTTAAATCCACCATGATATAATCTATATAAAAATCATAAATTTGTTTAAAAAAAAATAAGAGAAAGGAAATAGAGAAAATAACACATTTCATTTCATTACCTACCTAGAATTTTCATATTATGAGGAAAACTTTTTTATAGGAGAGGGGGCAAACGAGCATGCGGCTCACCTGATGGTAAGTGACTACCGACGCCCATGAACAACTGCAACACCAGGGGAACCAGAGGAATCGCAGATGGGTTGCCAGCCTCTTAAAAATAAGTAGGCTCTTTTCTTGAAGGTCCCTAAATCGTATTGGTCCGAAAAATCGCTGGTGGTAATCGATACCACAAGGAAGTTGTACGAGGAAGAAAACATCATCTAAATCGCACAATAGTGGACCGCCAATGATGATGCGGTCAAGTGGAAGGAGCTGGCACTAGGAACTGGGGTGCCCAGAGATGGGAACAGTATTCCATGTGAGGCCGAACCTGCGCCTTGTAAAGTTGCAGGCGTTGTGCCGGCATGAAATACTGTCCCGCTCTGCTGAGCACGCCAAGCTTTTTAGAGGCTTTATGATGAAAGCGTAAGAGAATCAATCTGTATCATCCCATTGCTATTGAAAGAAAACACAATAGGAAGTATGAGGAAAATCTCATGGCTTTGTGATAGGTGGCAGTATACTTAACAAATTGTTACAAAAACTTGGGTATTATTTCCAGACAAACTCTAAAATTTAAACTGTACTTTGTAAGGTAGTATTGATTTCTTCCCTCCCTCCACCTGCCGGAGACAATAAATGTTATAATTTTGAGGTAAGGTCCATGGGATTTTCTTTGTGATTTTTCTCAAGAACAGTGTATTACCCTTTGAAGAGAGTGGTGTCGGGAGTTAGGGAACACTCCCCCCATCCCTTAACCCCTGTTCTGCCAAAGTATTCCAAATTTTAAAAAGGTTATAATAGTTTTTTAATGAGAACCTTTTAATGAGAGTGGTATTGTTATAATCGGGGACCAAACCTCTACCAAATAAAACACCTTACTCCCTCAAATCCCTGCCAAACGATTCTAAATCCAAACCTAAGATTGTTTATAATACTGTTAAAGTATTTCTTATATTTACGCTAATACTACACATTAAATGAAATTAATCTTAGGATTTTATTGCGTAACGTCGGAAATATAAAGTTTAAATTAAATGATTTAGTTCAAAATTAAATTAGATTATATGAAAAAATTTAAGATTAATTTCATTTAACTGTTAAAATATTCATGTAAAAAGTATGAGGAATATAATAGACATCAACATATTTCAATATAACCTCAACAGATTCTCATCTGCCAATAAAGAATTTTATATTGATGATATAAATTCTTTATTGGCCCATGCAGACCGAATTTCAGTCAGAACAGCCCCAGACTAACAATGAGAATTCGTTGACAGAAAAACCAAACTACTGTCTAGTATGACTTTATGCCACGTCCGTGCACTTGATAAATCGCAACAAGCCGTCAGAAAGAGAAGATAGAGTGTTTGGCTCGGTGCATAGTTTTGCAAGCACTTGTAACCACCCCGATCGAGTGTCAGTTTTTGTCACAAATCAAAGGTAATTTGCGGCAAACGCTTGCGATACGTTCACACATTTGTGCGTACTCAGTCTCGTTTGTGCACTGGTGACAATAATAAGTACCTATAATAAATTAATTTCATAATTACTTGGTACAGCATTACCACCCCTTTACATATTTATGTCTATATGCCTACGTGCCTGCATATAGCAGTGCTTGCACTAATGTTTTTCGGTCTGAACAGTAAAGAGTGTCAGTATAGTAACAGACTGTGAAGCATTCCATCTCAGTCCTCAGAGGTGACAATGTAACTGTAGCCTTTTTTGCTTCAGGTAGGCTGAAGGTTTCCATAGACTGCAGTAGCCACTTACCATCAGCTGAACTGTTTGTTTGTCACTTCAATTTATAAACAGAACTAGCTGACCAGGTAGACGTTGTTCTGCCCATTCTGATAACCCTATAAAAATCCTTAAATTCGCAATAAAAATATTGAGGGTCATTTATCAGGATAAAAACTATTAGATCTCTTAACTTGAAGCAAGCAATACACATTTACAAAATTTCATTGAAATCTGTAGTTTAGGAGTTCATAGCAGACAAACAATGTGACATGTAATTTTTATATGAAAATGTATACAGAATATAGAAGACACCAAAGGAAGATTAAGTAATCACCATGAATAGCAGCTGGTAGTGTCAACTGCTGTATTTTTGTTGGCTTTTTAAATCCTAGCTCTGCCAAAGCATTAATTATTTCTTGCGGCAACTTAAACTCAGCCCAAGTCAACATATCTTCAGGTGTTAAAGTTGAATTTACTTCTGAAATGTCACCAAGTTTCCTTTTCTTAGGTTTTGCTTCTTGCTCTGTTGTCTGCTTTCTCTTTTTCTTCTCATCACTTTTTCTGACAATACTTTGATCAACAGTTTTTTCATTTGTTAGTGAAGGCTTTACAGTATCACATAATTCTACTACAAAACCATTGTCAAGTTTCACATTCTTGCTTGTTATTTCTGATTTTTCTTGTAATACTTTAGCTTTATTTGCCAATTTTTGTTTCTGTGATTGCTTTTTCTGAAATATTGTAAAATTATTATTAATTTCCTAACTATTATGTCCCCGTGAATATTTTGATCATTGCAAAAACTTCTAAATAGACAGAATATTTCAACTACTCAGAAGATTTACAACCACAGTTTGTCCCTTACTCCTAACCAATCTCAACCTGGTAGAAGACATATTATGAGATGACACACAGACACTTGAGATATAATGTCAGATACATACACTCAAAACATAATCAGACCTAAAAACCATCAATTAATGTTTTGGTCCATTATATGTTGCCCTTCGCTGATATTTGGCTCCAGGACCTAGGTGGGCCTCAAGGTTGTAAGAATAATAATATCTTATAATGTACCTACATCATTGTTATATTAAGTGTAAATGGAACAAAAAAGAATCTATCTTACTGTTGCAGTTTAAGATGGGAGGTCTAAATTAACTACACCATACTATAAATTTAAGGTGGATATCCAAAATTACCAAGGTCTTATTAATAATCAATACGAAGTATTGCGGCAGAAAATTAATAAATTCTTTATTTAATAGAATATCATACCTTTGTAGAAATTCACTATGCTTTATTTATAGAATAAGGGTGACAAACGAGCACACAGTCTATCTGATGGTATGTGTATGCCATGACTCATAGAAATCTTCATCTATCCTCGATTACGATTATCAAAATGCAAATGCGTTGTCACCCGTGAGGACTAAGATTGAATGCCTTGTTGCCAGTATAAGGGGTCTTCGGGTCTCTTCACTCACCATACAAAACACAGCAGCTTCAAGCTGCTATTTTACGCTGGTATTCTGTGAGAACGTGGTCCTTCCCCGATCGAGCCGACCCATTCGTGCTTCAACCATTCCACTAATATAGCTGCACCATTGCTCTACCACGTAAAATTACAGAACTTAATAAAAGATTTTTTTATGAATACCCATACCCATACCTCACATATTATATTGACTATAAGCGAGACTTACTTTCTTTGGTTTCTTCCCATCCCTATCGAGACCATAGTCCGTGCATTCCTCGAGGCCGACAAAACCTTGAAGTTTGTCTGTCATTGAAATAGGAAACCCTTCTACGGGCACGGATTCCCACTTTATAGATTTAATTTTCTTCGACATTTCTTCTTAACGTACTTGAACGAAATCGAAAAGTCGAAAACTCAATGAGTAATAAATAAGTCAATGCGAAAATCAAAATGTTTCTATTTTACTAACCTTACGCTTACGTTTTAGTTTGAAAGGCGTGAACATGACATTGACAAATTGTCAAGTTTGTGATTGTAGTTGTTGTTTTTATTATTCGCTCGAGATAGCAGGCAAAGGAACTATGCTATACAACCTTGTCTTCATCCTTCATAGTTCACTGCTTCACAATATGTTGATGCGTCACATTGCGCAGCCCTTGGGAGATTTTGACGGCAACTTGAGCCAGCAGGCAGCTGACAGTTGGCGATGGTATCTAGAGGCGCCTATGCAAACAAACAGCTTATCTTGAGAATCCATCACCATCAGAGCACTTGTTTCACAGTTTCCACTAATAGTTCACATGTGCAGACACTTAATACACAAAATCGCACCACTTTTATATATCAAAGTCCACTTCAAACCATTATTTAAACAATAATACAGGAGCAGCAAGCCGCCGCCGATCAAGTTCCCGCCAAAATATCAAGTTCGTGAATGTGCATGTTTGTGAATGTGACAATTAACATTCAAGTTAGGGATGTTCGATGTTCGATGATCATCGATGTTTTAACATCGATGTTGACGCTACTACTGGGAACTAGCGAACAATGCGAAGCTGTGAAATCAATATCAACTAAATATTACGTCTCTTCTGAAGATTTAAAAGTTTGAATAATTCAGAATTCCTGAACGCATCGCTAACCTAAAAAAAATCTGTTGTCTGTATAGTCGGTTTACTGACGATAGTTGAACGTGATAACATCATAAGAAAATGTTGTTATAAACAATTGTCACCACATTCACTTTTCACTGCACTTCATACTTGACGAAAACATGTAAATATTATTTATTGTATAGCAGCTGTTCATGCGGACGCATCACTCACTCAAGTAGGTGAGAGACAGATGTCGAACGCTGCCGAACGCGGAGGCCGATTGTGCCTCTTTGTCGCTCGTTCCGCGCTCTCGTTTGCACTTCAAGCCTTAAATGGAACGCCTCAGATCGAGGTAACGCCGCATAAGTCATGTTTTTTCGTGCATGCAGCCAGCTTCATCGAATTATAAGACGTTGTCACGTCAAAAACTATCATTATGGCATGTCAAACTTAATTGTCAAGTGTCACCTGTAATGTCACAGTGGTCACTGCTTTCGCTTTATTTTGTAGTGTCATTGTCGGTTGTCGCATAAAAACTATTCTACGTTAATTGATATTCAAGTTAACTGTTACTTTTTCCCTTGCTTTGTATACCCACATAATTTTAAAACCATATGTAAGTCATCGATGTTTTGAGTAGGCTAAACATCGAACATCGATGCCAACATCGATGTCATTATCGATGTTCTGCAACATCGATCATCCCTAATTCAAGTTGGCGTTATTCTTTCGTTATGGACTCGAACGGTTATACTTTCGCCAATATAAAATAAAAGAAAATCATTTTTTAAAACAACATGTTCAAAAATTTTCCCACATTCTGTTGATGTATCATAATGCGGCGTTTTCGGAGACAACAACATCTACCAACAGACAATCGATGACAATATCTCAAGTTTGATTTCAAAATTACACGTAACTTCCTTTAAGGTGGCACAAGTCGCAGGCTCGAACTCACTGGTGGGCGCGGCCAAAAAGCAAGCTGTGTCACCTGGCATCATGCCTGACAGAGATAGCATCAGTGATGAGCAGATCGACACTAGTATTCCCGCACGTCTTGTTCGTACGGCGTTCCGAACCATTCGAACAAAAACGAAGTTACATGAACACGATGCACACATCTGTACTTAATATAATAAAGCGGAAGAGCTTTTTTTGTTTGTATAAACGTGCTAATCTCTGGAACTACCAGTCCAAATTGAAAAATTCTTTTTGAATATTATAGCCAGATTCATGTGAAATAGTATAGGCTATCTAGCATTATGCTATATATCTCAGCTAGCCTATATTTGTTAAGCAAGTACGCTGGTGTTATAGTTGTTCTAGACAAATATAGATCTTTACTCCGTCTAAAAAAGTCCGCGATACCATATGTCTATTTCTTATATATAAGCCACAATTAGGCATTTTGTTACAAAAATAATTGAAAATTAAAAAGTGATTATGAGCGTTATTATTAGACATGGCATATTTATCCTTACGTACGAAAGTTACTTCATCATCAAGACAATTTTATGAAGATAAACTTCGTTCTTTATACCATGTTTATATAGTACATAGTTTAACAGATAATGTAAAATTAAAATAATTCAATAATTGGCTTGTCTCGCGAACATAACGCATAAATCCTAGCCGCCTGTTCAGAACTGAGAAGCCAGTATTGAAAGCTTCTATGAGCGAGGTTAGGTTAGTTCAATCATTAATCTATATCTACAAATAATATAATACAAATAAATAAAATTGAAGTGTCTGTTTGTAATGGCAAAATAACAGCTTTTTACTAATTGCATATGAAATTATATACGGTACTTATAACAACACAATTTTTAACATTTTTGTCTGTCTGTCTGTTTGTTTTTTCCGGTTAATGTCCAAAACGGCTGGACCGATTTTGACGGGACTTTCTCTAGTAGATAGCTCATATTATAAGAAGTAACTTAGGCTGCTTAAATTTTAGAAAAATTATTAGTTTTCCGTGCAACAAAATTAAAATCCTAAATTACACGCGGGCGAAGTCGCGAGGAACAGCTAGAAGCTAAAATAAATTCAAAATTAATTGAGTACGTATATCTATCTCCGGGTGAGCGTAACAATGATTAGTTACATCTTTATTTTTGAACTCTTTCATTTCACGTTGCTATGGTATTTTGAAAGTTTAACTTTAATTGATTAATAAGTATAAGAGGGTGATAGCAAATTTATAAAGAATCATTTCTTGCCTACACACTTTTCATGTATCGTGTACGTTTTTCTTTAAAACTGGAAAAAACCGCGCATAATATGCCGACAGATAAAATAAAAGTACTCCATTAATTATGCCATTTTTTTCATACATTACTATCAAATAAAATATTTGATTGCAATTATAAAATGCTTGAACTACGTGTCATATCATGCCACACATCTCGGACACCTGATGACGCGGGTGAAACCGCGGGGCACAGCTAGTATTATTGTACATACCGCCCTACCACAGATTACTAAATAGTTTATGCCCTACGCTGTGTGCCGCTCGACGCTTGCTTAGAAATCTGCAAGTACCTACCTACAAACTCGTACTAAATTATTAGGCGCAGCTTTATCGCTTCATATTATACCTCTGTGGCTCTATATACCTAATATAGATTGCTTATTTTATTATGTTTAGTTTTCCCCGGGTGGTAAGCAACGATCATTGATATCGATCGATAATGCAGCGATCATTCAAGAGTTCGGCTTCGAACGCGTGTAACTCGAAAATTGTCCCACGGGAACGAAATACCTGAATAAATTTGACAGTTCCGTGGTGCAGTGGTTTAGCAATGCATTGTTGCGCTGGGGACCGCGGGTTCGAATCCCGCACGTAACATGTATTTGTACGGCCTACAATAATTGTTCCGGGTCTGGATGTTTGTAAACTGCCTCCACGATATAGGAGAAAATCCTAGTGTTGGGATAACGTTTTTTAAAAAATAAAAATAAAATAAAATTCCAGACTGAATAACCTATCTCTGAGCAAATATCACCCAGACCCCTTCAGCCGTTCTGGCGTGATTGAGTAACATACATCCATTCATGCATCCATCCAAACATCCAAACTTTCGCATTTATAATATTTAGATAATAATTGTAATTAGGTCTGCCTACCTATAAATTGTTTTCAAAAATACTTAATTACCTGTCTTCTTACTTTTTATATATACTCAATATCACTAAACGTAAACACAGGTTTTTATCAAGACAAATGACCCATCAAGATTGTTTCCTTAGTACCGACGTAGGTACCTACCTAAAGTTTACATTTTAGTGTCCACGACGCAGCGACGGTTTGTGACATTTCGTTGTAATTTAGGTTGTAGGTATCTAGGTAATAACAGTAGGTACCTATGATAATCCCACATTATACCTACCCCTAGTTTGTCCGCCGCCAAAGTCGTCTAATAAATAATTAAGCGCTCACTATAAATATCACATTACGCGAGCAACCCTGCTTCGCTCACCGCCGGCACCAATGAAATTGTTGCAATTTTAATTTTTTTTACTTTTATAATTATATTATACAAATTATATTACAGACGAAAATTTCAAAATTTTGTCTGTCGTCCAAAACGCATCATCTTTTTCAATTATATCAATTTCTATGTCATTTGGCGTCCAAATAACAAAATTGCAAAACATTTCATTTCGAATAAAAAGCGTGCGTCACCGCGCCTGCACATGTGTGAACGTCGTCCTCCCGCACCGCACCGGGGGAAACATTATTCAGTGAGATGCACGATAACTCATAGTAAAACGCGCGCGTAAAAAAATATGAAAAGGCCTTTGGAAAAAGGGGTTTTATGAAAAACCCACTGCATAAATCAATTACAAATAAAATTTATTGAATTCTTCGATAATTGAGCTTTGTCGGTACCGTCTTTGTTTTGGAAATTTTACACTTCTTTTATTACTAATTTATGCCCAAAGTTGTGTTAAAATTGGCAATAAAAACGAATCTTTGGTAGCTCATAACTTTTTATTGACTTTTTATTTTACTATTCTGTTTCCGTACAGACAAAACTAATAATGAGACAATCATGTTTAATTTTGGATGTAAAGTGTCAAACAGCGGAGTAATACCCCCCGAAATTTCTATAGAAATAATGTCGACTAGTGTCACCTTAATGTGCTTATCTCTCTTTGCCTCATTTGAAAATTGAATTAGAAAAAGTGAGTTGACTCCTTTAATGTAGAAATGTAGATTCAATCTATGTATACAAACGCTTTAAAGACTAGAAATCTTTATCTAAGATATGCTTAG